ATGCATCTGGATGCTTCTTATGCTTCGCTAGTTTGAAGGTAATGATGTCTTCTTCTGAGAGTTTAAAGGACACCAGAGAGGAGGTGTATTTGTATATAAGTTCTCTGAGTAGAGGTTGTGTTGGTGACTGTTCAAGGTGAAATAGTTCCCCAGCTTGTACTGAGAATGAAGACTGGTTTTGTTGACTTAGCGTCCTGTATAATTTTATAATCTTGTCATAAATATGCCAAGTGAATAATCTACCAGTCGAAGTTGTACTAACATTGGAGCTGTATTTTGTTGAAAGTAAACATCTTATTTTGGATAAGACTGTTCAGAGTGGGGTTTGTGATTGGTATTTTCTTATATCTTAGAGGAGAACTTTGGCTTTTTATAGTTACCACAATAGTAATTTTGAAGAATTTTCTCTATATAAGATTTTAGCAAATTAGAGATATGTCCTTGTTCTGAGAAGCATTTCTCCATGCCATTATAGAAGTCATGTTTATACCGTTAGGATTTAAAAAAGGTCCTCTGCCTGTTATCTTGTGGTAGTTCCTCAAAGGTCCTATGATCGATGAGAATACCTGAAATGTGTAGGTGATATGTTTACAGAAGAACAGAATGAACTAGTTGAATCAGCAGCAGAGATGCTTTATGGTCTAATACATGCCCGCTACATCTTGACAACAAAGGGACTCGCTGCTATGGTAAGAATTTTTGTATCATTGAAAATTATATGTGGTCATAGCTATAATAATTGGAAGGTATCTGGTCTTTTCAGTTAGAGAAGTACAAGAATGCTGAGTTTGGGAGATGTCCAAGAGTTTACTGCTGTGGACAACCATGCCTCCCTGTTGGCCAGTCAGACATTCCTCGACAAAGCAGGGTGAATATATACTGTCCTCGATGTGAAGATGTGTATACACCTCGGTCAAGATATCATGAGAGTATCCTTTTTGTTCTGCTTTGTTATTTCTTAATGCAACCATCAACATGCTGTCTGCATTCCCTCATCTTGCCCTTTTCCTTTCATCTGAAATGTGTAAAACTAGGAACTTGAATTTTGGCGATTTGAAAACAAAAGAATACATGAATGTGGTTTGCACGTCTCACCTACCATGAGAAGATTAAATGGTTGGCGTATTCCTTTATCCTTGCCTCTTTTCTTTTACCTCCATCAAATTCATTTTCTTAAGTTCCCTGACATTTTCTATTTACTAATAATCCAGAAAAAGGAATCTAATGCCTGTCTTTTTCTTTAAGGTTCAAAAGGTAGTGCAGTTCAAAATTTAATGTCTTGTATCTCCCTACATTGAATTGAGATTGGATCTTTCATCTCATAGTGAAAAGTTTTAGAGGATATTGGTGTTATGAGAAAATTGGGATGTTTAATTTACCTTAGAGTTGGCAGCAATTTTTGTCATGTTAGCTTTTATTTGAGTCTTTTAATACTGTCAGAGATTTATATGCCACTAGATAATATAGAGAACTTCTAGTATTTTTTATTTATTTTATATAATATTGTCCTGAGATGAGCTTAAGTTGAGTTGCAATGTCAACGAGGATAAATAGTTAACCCAACTTGTTGGGACTGAGGCATAATTGTTTTAGTAGTATTTTCGATATCGGAAGATCTTAAGAGTAAACAGTATCTTATGTTGGAACATCTCCTCCACAACTGCCACCATGTTTATTTTTCTCGTATTTTCTTTTAAGTACATCAACCAAGTTGTGGATGGGTGGACATATTTGAAGAGGGAATCAATCTGTAAATACTATTGAATCTATCCGCGACACATTTAGATATTTTCTCCCAAGCAAGGCAGGGATGATATTTTATTTTCTCCTCTCCATTTTTGCATATATATCAATGTCTCTTTTGCATTTCCTTTACTATGTCAAAGACATTGATGGAGCTTACTTTGGAACCACATTTCCACACCTGTTCTTGATGACTTATGGACACCTCAAGCCACAGAAGATTTCTCAGAGCTATGTTCCCAGAGTGTTTGGTTTTAAGGTCCACAAGCCTTGATCCTGGTAGTGACCTACTGGCGATGTTTTCCTTATTAATGTGCTAGCAGAGGTAATGATTTTAATAGCACATCTAGAAATTGTAAGGTTCTGTTATAGGTTTTATTCTCATACAGGCTTTTGAAGATGCTGTGTGATAACAAATTAACTTGAGCTACGTTTATGTATGAAGACAATTCTCCCTTGCTACAGTTTGTGCCTGTGAGAATCTCTCAAGACTGCATTACAAAATCTTTTGTTACTGAGTTCTATGTCAATGTACACCCAAGTATCGTAACTTGGATTTGACACATGATACTATTTTGTACGTACGGTGGACTTCTGGCCTGGGGTTTCAATTGACTGTCATTGTGTTCTTTTTGAGTATACGTGATGTCTTTCCCTTTTGACTTCTAGCTGTGCATTATTTTACTGGGTGAAAGATCTTATGTGCTGGTAAATAGTTTAACTTTTGCATTGTGGCTGAGATAAAGTCATTAAAATTCCGGTCTTGGTTTAGGTTTAACGGCAAGATCCAAGTGCTAACCACCTTATGCACAGAATCCTTGAACCTGTAAAATAATAGCTACCAACTGTGTAACCCTAGCTAGTTTTCGTATACGATTTACTCATTACTCGGGAAATAAATGCCAGAAGATAATTTCAAAATATATTAATCCTTAAATATGTTCCTTCAGATTATAAATAAGTACACCATAATTGATTAACCTTGAAGAATGGTAATTTAACTCCATATATAGATTGGATATTTTGCAATTGCCCTTGAAATATTTTTCTAATATGTATGAAGCAGGTTCACCAATAATGTCATTGAGTTTCTCTAAAATCTTGATTTAATTTTATGGTGTTTTATTTTTTTGATTGATACTCATTAAGAATTTAAGATGGTCAAAGGTATTCTTCCTAATTTTTATTATTGAAATGTTAATTTTGTATCTCAGTCAAATATACTTTCTTCATCTACAATTCGATATAGTCCACCGTAAAATGATTTTATGTGACACTCAACATTGGACATTTTATTAAACTTATTACATTTTGTTCATTAATTTTATTTTTATAATTCAAACACAATGTTTAATACTTTCTCTGTCTGACACACTCTTTTTTAGTCCGTTCCAAAATGATATTACATTTTTATAATTAAAGATAATTTAATTTTAAAATTCTTTTTTTCTTACCTTAATAAATGATCAAAGAGTATTTAGATCAAGTTAAACCGTATTATATAAATTGAGGTCAAGGTAATACTCATAGTCATTAAAAACACATGTAACGTGTATATCCAAAACTTATTACAGGTTGTGTACGATTTGACAAGCATGACTGTTGCAATTTAATTTTTTTCAATAACTTGATATATGTCATATTTTAATCCACCATCTTATGTTCTATAATCGTTTTTTTCGTAATCACAACACCGTTCACGCATCACGTGAATTCTTATACTAATTTTCAAAATTCTAACAACTTTAAAAGGGAAAAATAATTATGTCGAAACTTGAAAGAGCTGGCCTTTACGGTTTTACAATATAATATAATGTCAAAATTTCCATATCGAGTCTAAAAAGGAAAGGAAATAACTAAAAATTAATTCCATTAATTGACAGATTTTGGCTATTTTAATGTCAATGTACTATTTATTTATTAATTTGGTCCCCTTAATTAATAGATTTTGGTTATTTTTAAATCAAGGTTCTATGACTATAGTCTATGTATTTTCTATTTAAACAACTTTATCACAAGAAACAAGCATTCAATAATTTGGAGGAATACTTTAAGATGAAGAATATTTTGCTATTATGTTTGTTTTCTATCATGGCTCTTCTTCTCACATATTCATCAGGTAAAAATGATTAAATTTTCTATTGATTTCTACTTATTGAATCAAAAAATAATTCTTCAACATGGTCAACAATGAATCGAAAAAGAAATCTTTATTGATAACGCGAAATATTTCTTGTTACAGATGGGAGAATTGGAGTTCAGATAAGATATGCATGGTGAGAATTAAAGTAGATGACTGCAACTTTGGACTTGGTGATCGTAAATGCAAGGATGAGTGTTCCCGTCAATTTAAAAATGTTAGAGATGTATTTTGTCCCAATTCAGAAACTGAATGTCGTTGTGCACTTTAATTTATTGTTAGTAATCCTATACATTTTTATCATAAATGAACATGCGTTATGCGCGGATAATATTACTAAAATATGAGTAATTATTTTTGGTTGTGATATGAAGAAAGTATGATCATCTTATCAATAGTTGAAACTCAATAAGGAGATGTTTTCGTTTTTATTTCTACTAATGTAATTTTCATTACCATGAAAGAAATTTTTTTATCTACCGACCTACGCAATTTTGGAATCAAAATTGCTATTAATGTGAATATATCTGTTTTCAAAGTGGGGTCTACCACTCAAATAAAAGTCATGAAGCATCAAACAAGTTGTTAATAAATTAAAAAATGGAAAATTACATGGTTAAGCAAATATATACTAGTTAATTAGTGATCATAGCTATAGTTTTAGTTAATTATTACTTGCGATCAACATTCAGTGATAATTACGTGGGCTTAGGTTTCGAGTTTGTATAATTGGAACGTTTGTAGTATTTATTGGCCAGAATTTGGCCAGAATGCTTTTTTGAACATTTTTACCCTTTTAACTTTAATACCTTTAATTAAAAATAGAAAAAAGATCAGTTTGTTTTAAAATAAAAAGAATATTATAGACTTTTTAAATTTCTAACCAAATTTTCTGATCATTTAGCATTACTCTATTTTTTATTATCATATAAAATGAAATGTCTCAAGTAGTATTTATCAAAAAGGTACAAGTAAATATTAATTGTTTCAACATAATTAAATGTGTGTAGCATATTTTTGTACACCAGGAATGTGGGTCTTTACAAGTAATTTCTCCAATTAATTTTGGTCACGTCGATTTCAAAGCTTTTTTTCTCTTCTTCAGACATATCTTCCATTAACTTTTGTACGTTGCCATTGTCAAACCTAGCAAAAAAAAAAAAAAAGAGTTTTATTAGATAGTTTGGCCCGATGTAAGCATCGGATATCGAAGAAAAATATTTTTTTTGCAATTACACATCTATTTCTCGTGTTTTAGTAATTACACTCGTTGTATTCTATGTACACATGTTTGACGGATATAGAATTTGTGGTTTAAAATGTAAGTTATAGATATTTATATGATTGTATTAATTAATTTATTAAGGAAAATAAAACATTTAAAGTTAAATTGTTTATTGATTAAAAAGAAAAGTGTGTTATATATAAAATAGGAGACCAAGAGCATATATATATATATATAGTTGCTAAGAATAATATTAATACTAATAATGACTGGTGAAATCCTTAAAATCTCTGTTTAAAAATCACTCGTTTTTAGCCCCTTTTGTTATACGATTAATGTCTTTTCTTCTAATGTAAAAAATAATCCATAATCTGATGCTTATGAATTAAACATGTTTATTAAATTCATAACAAAATATTTATAGATATCACACGTACGTACCGGCCTTTGTAGAAAGAGTATGGTTCGTGGCAGTGGCGGAGCCACCCTATCTTTAGGGGGTCATCCGACCCCCTTCGGCGGAAAATTACATTATTTTTACATGGTTAAAATATTTTTTATGTATATATAGTAGATGTTGAACCCCCTTAGGCTACTTCGTGTGTCTATTTCTTCAGATTTTGAACCCCCTAATTAAAAATTCTGGCTCCGCCACTGGTTCGTGGAGCTTACTGAATTGCTTCAAATATTTCACCTTCTTTTTAAAACGCTTTTGAAGCTTTATAATCTCATCTTGAGCTAAATCATCTTGTACCTCGTGTTGTTTGATTAGTACCTCCCAAATATAATTTTCAAAATTTGACATTTTGTTAAAATATTTCATCTCCCTAATTTTCACTTTATCTCCTTTTGAGTTAATAAAAGGAAATGAAGTGAAGTATTCATAGCAATAGTCAAAAAATTGAGATAGTGTGAAAGGATTTAGGAGTGTTGATGTCACATGATAGACATTTAGTTCTGGATTTTGCAAGTATCCATGCTTTGCAATTGCAGCCATTGTTGCATTTACAACCTTGTCAACTGGAACCTAAATCAAGTGAATAAATGGTCTATTAATGCAAACAAATACTTAACAATTAATAATGTAATTGTTGGATATATATATAACTATCAAATATATAATTAAGTAAATAATAGTTTCTGATGTCTATAATAGCTTAAACTTTTAAATGAGATATCATACACTTTAGCATGGTATCAAAGTAGGAGAAACTACATAATTAGATATACTCTACTATCATATATACTATTATTATTTATTCTTTCAAAATATAAATATTATGTATTTTACCACTAGTTAAGAGTTTTCCATGATATATTGAGGAAGATATACCTAGATACATGTATTTTTTTTACTATCATATACACTAATAAAGGGAGAGAGTAGAGCGAAATAGGGAGGGAGGCGAGCAACATTTGTTATATATCTCATATACACATGAATCACTCTAGATACTCACTAGATACATGTATTTGTATGTATCTGGTGTGATTCTCATGTATCTGGGATACAAGTTACATAAGAGAGTAGCGACCGATATAGGGGGGAGACGAGCGAGATTTGTATCCCAGATATATGTGAATCCACTTGGATACTGTGTATATAAAACAAACTACACCTAATTTTGACCTCATTTATCTCGAGATACATGTATCTGGACTTAACAAAATCTGATAAGAATCATAATATTGAAAACTAGAGCGTATGTGTGTAATTTATTGGTCTAGACAATGAGGGGCGTAGGTAAATTGAAGATATAATTTAGAAATACATATATGTCCTCTCTAATAGCTCAAATGGAAATGAGATGGTCAGATGACTTCTACATTGTATCTTGGTAGGTATAATTGGTCGTGTGTTCGAGTTTCTCACCACCACCCATTATTAAAATGAATTTCTATATGGTTTACTCATGAAAACACGTTAGGTCGAGATGTAATTAAAAATATAACTAAGTAAATAAAACTTTGATCTCTCTAATACTATAAAATTTGAATTTAGATGAGATGATTATCCACTTCAAAAATAATCGGTGCAACTATAAATGTTAAATCGATTGAAGAAGTATATATACCTACCACATCAAGATGACAATTGGGATCACCAAGAAAGCCAGAGAGGTCACCCTTTCGATAGAATACGATTAATGAGTCGAGTACCCTAATTATGAGAGAGAATTTGAAAAGTTAGAAACATTGATATTCTTGGTAATTTATAAATAGACAGAATACATCGATAGTTTATTAAATTTATCATTTAATTTTATTTAGATATTCAAACTATGTTATGTTAAGATCGAGCACTTGAACACATGGAAAAAGTATATATTCATATTAATTAGACATTTTCAACTCAAACATTGAAAAAAAAATTATGCACGTTCTGATCAAATGTGCGCTTATTATAGATAAGCTAACCACTTAAAATATGTCACAACCTTTTATTATACACATTAGCCTCAATAAGTCATAAAAAGCATAAGCACGTCCAATTAAGCAAGAGATATATTTTGTGTGATCTACTTATCTACGTAATAAACGTTTGATTCGGAAGTGTCTAATATGAATATTTTATCATGTATTCACGTGTTCAATTGAAATAGACTATTAGTCAAATGTCTAAACAAAATTTAGTAACAAATTTAAGATACCGTCATGTATTGAACCATGTAAATATTAAGGACAGAAAGAAGAAAAAAAAGTTGAATAAACAATATAACACCTTAATCCTTGTATCCATCCTGAAAAGGGCTCTTTGTAGCTACTTGTTATTATGGAGGGACGAAGAATGAGTATTGGTATTTCTTCTCTCATGCTATTTATCATCATTTCACCAATTGCCTTTGTGAATGAATACGCATCTTGCCATCCATGTAACTTTGCCCTATTTTATCAAAACAAACATTAATTACTATTAAAAAAGTATAATTTTTTTCCCACCCGATGCCTGGAGTTCATATTGAAGCCCAAGTCCTGACTAAATTTGAATTGCACAATGCAAGGACCCATTCGGGGGTGATGCTCACAACATAATTTTTTCCATATCCAGGACTCGAACCCAAGACATTTGGTTAAGGATGAAGCAGTTCCACCACAATCCATGGTGTTCATCGGAATTTTGTGAGTCTCTAATAATATATAATTTGTATAAAGTGAAAATACCTCTCAACTCCTAAATCCTTCATTAATTGCTCCAAACCATTGTTGTTAACATTGTTCTTCAATTTTGAAACTAAGTCAATTTCATTGTCAGCATACAATGACGGAAAATTAATAAAGGGAGAAACTGATGTAATTTTCTCCTTTGTTATGCTTTCTCCCATCGTAAAAGGCTTCTCCAATATCATCCCTTCTCTTTCTCCATTGGCATAAGCTTTAAATAAACGAATTGAAATAATTCAATATTATAAATCAAATGTATATTATGTATAGAAGATTTATCAAATGTTCAAGTCAAATCGTCAAGTCAAACTGAATTGATGAATCAAGTCATATCGAAGAAAAAAATTGATTTGTGGTTTTATTTGATTGGTTTAGTGTTGAAAAATAAAACGACAACAACTGATCTACATCTATCTATAAAAATTTATGTTATTTGCGTTGATCAAAACTCAAACTCTAGATTTATGTGGAAAGAATTTATCTGTTTATGATATTTGCGCTGATCAAAATTCAAATTATAGATTTATCTAGAAAGCGTTTATGTTATTTGCTCTGATCAAATTAAGATGACTTACAATAATAGTATTAAACTTGAAATATAATCCACTATCGATGTATATAACATATTGAAAACATATATGCTCTTTTTTAAAGAATATTCAAAAACATACCGGTAGAATGCATAAGAAGTTTTTTAAGTTTGTTGCATTTTTTTTGGCAAACATCATGAGTTGACGTGAACCATTCACGTTAGCATCAAGAGCTAAGTCATATCTAGAAAAATGAAAAAGAAATTTTATATAGAATTAAGATAAATATGTATATATATATATCTTAGTAATATAATTTTTTTTCTATTATTTATTATGTATAAAAATTAAAAAATTAACCTCTCGTCAAATGTAGTGATGGCTGCAGAGTTAACAATCAAATCAATTTGTTGAGTAGTAATAATATCCATGCCAAGGTTTGGCTCATATATATTTCCAACCACAGGAACCAATTTATTTTGTATGAACAACTTGTAGGATTCACCATGCATTTCTTCTAGATATTTGAATAACTTTGACTCCACAATCTGATATTTAAACAAACTTAAGGTGTAAATATCGTTCGTTTATATTATATAGGTGATCAATTAGTTGTATAAATTATCAGTAATCAACCAATAGTGAAGTTAGAATTTTCGTTAAAATATCTCTTTTATCCCAAAATAGTTGTTATGTTTTGATTTTCGAAGTCAAAACACACGAAACATGACAACACCTAACTATATTCATATATGTATATATAGATTCAAATTTTTAAAAAGAAACTTAGTGAAGAAATTAAAGAATCATTCTAAAGCATACTTCACTTGTTAATCTGTGAAATGCAGCTTCTTTATCCTTTGCCTTGATGAGTATATATCACTACAACAAATTCGATTATCAGGGACAAATAATTTCGTCATTTATAAATCATATTTCGTCACTAAAATTCTTGTGAGACGAAAAATAATTCGTCACTCAGTCGTCACTAAATGTGTGTCTCTAAAAGTATACAAAAACGATTTCGTGCTTCGTCGCTAAAAGTATTATATTAACTACAAAAAAGAAAAATCGTCCCCAAATGCTTAAACATTTGTGACAAATTCATTTGTCGTAAAAAGTATATTTTTTGTAGATAATAGTATGTTTTGTCACTAAAAAAGGTTATTACTACCGACAAAAATTATATCGTCGCTAATGACTATATTTTATATACCAAAAATTATTTTGTTATTAAATGTATTAATTAGGGACAATTTATTATTATTAAAAAAGATTAATTTTCCTATTATCCTCCCCCCACCCCCCATCTCAAGTTTATTTTAAACTCCTCCCTAGGAGCTCCCACATCATGCTTTCTTGGAGATTCGAACTCACAGCCTTAAGGTTGGAAGTGAGGAGTGCTTACCATCAGATCAACTCTCTCTT